AACTCCCAGAATGCTGGCTGGGGAATTCTGGGAGTTGAAGTCCACACATCTTCAAGTCGCCGAGTTGAGGAACCCTGCCTTAGACATTATCCTGGGATTCTGTGTGACCTCCCAGAGTATTATACACCTTGCTCTTGGTTGGTTGACCACTCCTGGTGACTAAGTGTCTTCAGAAATCTCCATTGTTTGAGCCATGACATACTTGTACATATCTGTGTTGTGAAGATCAGACATTGATAGTGAATACAGGTAGTCCTTGTTCAGCAACCACAGTTGGGACTGGCAACTTGATCATTAAGCGAAGCGGTTGCTAAGTGAAACAGCAACTGTGCTTACAAACTGACTTCAGTTTTCCTTTGCTTTATAGACCGGCAAAGGTCCTAAATGCAAGGATTGGTCATAAAGTTACTTTTTCACCACTGTCATAACTGCGAACAGTCGCTAAACAAGACAGTCGCTAAATGAGGACTACCTGTACCCAGAATTCTGTTCTTTAAATAAGGCAGGAGCTGCCACACTCACATCAGATTATCATTACATTGACTGAAATCTCCCCTTCAAATGAACTGATAATTGCAGAGGTTCACATACTTTTGCCACACACAAATATGTAGCTTTTTAAATCTGAGTTTAAATTGTTGTAAAGCTTTAAAGACGTTTTTTTAGAAGTTTTAAACATGTTTAAAGTTAAACTATTTTTGAGCTGTGTTTAAAATTATTTGAAGCACTGCATTGTCGTGACTCAGAATTTCAGAAGCAAGATAAATCAGTTAATACGTGGGCATTTTGGAGTCATAAACTGTAAAGCAAATCACTGAAGAGATAGAAGGATCAAGGACTGGAAGGATGCGTGTCACGCAGACAATGGGAGATCCTGCAGACCTGCCTGCCTTTGCTAAAAGCACATCTAAATTTGAACATTCACAGACAATTGGGTGTTCTACTGCATGGCTCCAATTGAAAAAAAACATGTAGAATGGAAGTCCATATAGAAATATAGGGACTTTAAGCTTGGGTTTCTTCCTGTTCCAGTGATTCTGTGTTCTCCCATCCATTCCTCCCCAACTTTATGGGGAGGCTGTTTCTCTGAGCCCCATTTTTAGTCAGAAAAGTATCTGGACAAGGAGAAGTGAGGCACCTCTTCCTGAAGATGCCTGAAGAAGCTCCCTGCAAATTGCATTTCAAGGGCCATTTGCCTGCATAGCTGCTGTGGTCAACTTAAAGCTCTTCTGCATGAAATGGTTGCTCACACACAACTAGACACGTGTTGTCTATCTGAAAAGAATTTTCTTTTTACTTTCTGATCCTGTCTTCCAATTTTCAAATCTTTATCTCATTGCCTGGAAGACGATACTTTGCACCAGGGGTGACCCCAGGGTATAATTGAAAAAAGTCAAGTTGATGGCCATGATGATGCAATCAAACCTCTGTGTTTTTTAATTGTTGTGTGTGTGACCCACGTAAAAAACAGGCAGAACTTCAATCACACAGTCACAGCCACCATTTTGACTTTTTTTTAATTAGATCCTGGGGACACCCCTGCTTTGCAACACGGACCAGGAGGCCACTAGCTGTTTACAAATAGATGCAAAGAGTAATATGGCCAAAGGCCTGGAAGAGTTGGTAAAAGTGGGAAGAAAGTATATGGTGCCAATATCAGATGGACTTACTTGAAGGAAACAGGTTCGACGTGAAGCACATTGTGTCCTCCATTCCCCTAAAAATGTTTAGGGGCAGAAGAGGGGGAACATTATTTTCTTCTACGGCTAAAAAAAGTATTGTGCACCAGTATTAACTTGTGTGCAAATGCCCACTGATTTTCGGCCCATAGTGAAAAAGATGGTTGAATTTGTGGATTAGAAATGTGTTCATCTGATCTTTATAAGCATCTCATTCTGATAGTCAGGAGGAAGGAGACTTTAACAGGGCACGGAGAACAGCTGCAGAGAAAGAAAGAAATAAATCAAGGGGTGGGCGAGGCATGATCCTTGCAAGAGCATCTTTAAAGAAAAGGAAGGAACAGTTTTGAAAGATTTCTGCCATCTCTCCTTCCGTTCTAGTAGATTCTTGTGCCAGATGAGACTAACCCTCTCTGAAAAATAGTTTGTATTCAGAATCGCTCTCGGTGTGCATATTTTTACATATATTTGTGTAATCTTGATAGAATTTCAAAGGTATACATTTAAAAATCAGAAAAAGTGCAGACAACATAATTTTTCTGAAAACGCTAGTGATGCATCTGTGCTATGGAAACATTCATTACAGCTTTGAGGGCATTTTCTTTGGGTTTTGTCACGCAATGTACAAGGAAGAGTTCAGAAGACTTTTTTTTTTTTCAAAGAATTCTCTTTGTTTCTTTTTGATGCAGAAAAGGAGTTGTTGAAGGCTTCTCCAGAGAAGCATCTGTGAAGAATGCATAGCTGATATTTAACAGGCGAATGCTGCACTTACTATAAAGCTTATAAAACCATATCAGCCTGTTTGTGATATGAAAACCAACGCATTCCATTTTTGATGCAGTTTTGGTTATTAACATTGCAGCAAAGTGAGCGTAGTGAATCTCGTATCAGACGCCAGAAGAACGTGGCGTATATTGATTTACTGAAAGTACTAATGACACATTTCAGATTTTGGAGGCTGGAGGCTAAAAAGGATCAGACCAACAATCTTCCTGCGTCTGATATGACCCAACGTCTTGGACTGGAACCGACATATCCCAGCCAGCTTAGGAAGACGTCCCCTCCCATCCCACAACAGGATATCTACTTAAACAGAGCTACCTTTCTTAGCAATCCATTTCTCACCTGGGTTGGGGGGGCTGGCATGAAAGGCCTACCCCCACCCCTCTCTGCTCCAGACCCCTCACCCCAGCCAGAGCAGGCGGCCTCTCCTTGTTGGGGCTGGGGGGCTCTGCGGGACCCTAAGCCATTGCAATGTCGTCAGAAGACCTGCCCTGGCGTGCTTTAGTTTCTCAAATCCCTGCGGAACAGGCTATTTGCCAGGGAAGCTGTTCCGTTCATTAAACATCCCTTAAATGGAAGTGTCTGTTTTAATAGGTCAATTTACTAAGGTAAACCCGAGCAACTGATTAATTGAGTGTAGATGTGTCAAGGGTGAACGTGTTTGTATATGATTTATTGCATATTTTGGTTTCTAACGTTTTTCTCTGGAGCAGAGGCAAGGACGGAATTCTTTCAGATGGTTAGTCCTCGTTTGGCTTCTTCTCAGGAGATTTGCTGCTAAATAATCACTACATAATAGTCCCAGTCATCTTAATTAAAAGAGGGATAAAATAGATGCGAATTTAAGGCACCTTGCATCTTGTCTTTGGGAGTACCGAGGTATTCTGAGTCTCGGCTACTTTATTTGCTACTGTGCTGCTTCCGTATTAAACGAGTCGCATATCCGCCACCTTGATGCTCATCTTCTTCTTCTAACGTGGCTAGCATGAAGCCATGAAGTGGGTCTGTGTTAATAGAGTAGCCACGTTTGGAAAGGTCCACTGTTATGCATGAAAAGAAAAGAAAGCTGTGTCTGTCAAAATAGCTCTGTAAATAACTTCTTACAGGAAGACGGGTAGCCATTTGGGGAAAGCCCACACAAAGCACTCTTTGGGGAGGGGTGTCCGCAGGGTGGTCAGAACAGCCAAGATGCTGGCCACACGCGTGCCATCGAACCCTCGCCCCCCTTTTATGCGCGTCCGTGCTGAAACGGGCTAGGCTGCCTTGGGTCTGCGGGATCCGGATGAACTGAATGGTAATTATAACGCACTTGATTTAGTCCATTCCAAACCGAACACATCTTACTATAACTTCCTCTGGGTGTTTTTAGGATAACGTCACCCTACGACAATCATTCTATTTTCCTGGCTTGTTTAAAAAAGCCCAAAGAGGGAAAAAAATAAGGGGGTGGGGGCAGAAACAGCTCTGCAAGCACAAAAGAAGAAATCATTCGGTGTCTCCTGTGTGTTTCAGATTAGTCGTGTAAAACGCTTCCTTCAAGGAAACGTGACTTTTCACAGGTGTTTTACGCGATTGAACTCACCTTTACGAAAAGACGATCCAAATACGTAGGAGAATAAATACGGGCACCCCAAACAAGGCATGTTACAGTACTTTAGGGGTCATTTATACGAGATCAGACATGCTAACATTGGTAAAAGCATGATACCCCTTTGCTTATCTATGAATATTCTTTGAAGGTAAGCATGGCAATGTTTTCAGATTACGTGGGTGTCCCTGCATTGTAAACTTGCTCAGAGCTGCAGTCTCAGGCACACCTTTTTGTAACGCTTGGGTTGGCCTCTTAAGCACATTGCCGCAGTGTGGATTCAGGACCTTCCTTTGTGCTGGAGCTTAGCTGGCTTAACCACAGCATGTGTGAAACACTGAAGACCATCTTCCCCTTTCTTTGGCAGGCAACCTTGGTTTTATGGCTGGGGCTTTAATCTTCCGCGAGGCCAAGCACTCTTAGAGAAATGGAACCTAATTCCAGATGGAATAGATATTCTTATAACACATGGACCGCCTCTTGGTAAGAAAATACTGAAAAACGCTTATCTGGTTCAGCTCCGTTTATGTGTCTCTGCTGCGTCCTTAGGGACAGATAACAGTTTTGAGTCTTTGCTTTTCCATGTCGTTCCTGTAAATTGGTGTGATTCTGCAGTGCTGTTGCCTACTTACTGTCCTAATATTTGTAAACTGTCTTGATAGAATTGGCCTGCATTAGTCATTGAGAATGAAATAATTCAAAGTTAAAGCTGAGTTAAATTTGCTTTGCATGTCTTTGCCAAATATTTAAAATATGTCTCACTGCAAGGAAACACCATGTCTGCCAACTCAAAGCGTCATAAGTTAATAATTATATTCCTCAAGTGACCAGGGCAACATTAGGCACTTTGGAGGGCATCCATAGTCCGTAGTAAAAAAATCCAGATGGTGGCCACAACTTGTGACTGAAGCCCTGCCCCTTTTACACGCAACATATAAAAAGGAGGTGGGGCTTCAGACCAGTTCCATCTTGACTTTTTTGACACTCCCTCTGGAGATCCCCCCGGATCCTTTATCTCATACCCAACTCTCATTTCCTGCCTTTCTCTAATCCTGTTTACAGTAGTTGCAATGAGCACCTGGCGATTGGCAGAGTTGGCTCTGTCCTGTGCTTTCGGCTCATTCATTTAAGGGTCTGAACAAACCCTCTGCACTCAGACACTCAACTGATCCCTGTAATGACAGTCTGGATTTTGCAGTTAGGATCTGTTCTTCCTCTCCTGCGTATTGAGTGAGACCCTGAATTAAAAGGAGAAAATTCCCACCTTTTTTTCTCTCTCAACTGCTGTTACAGGCAGTTGCTTCTGGCCGGAAGGAGATGCCAAAGATTATGGAGCATTAAGCTTCTGTTTTTAAAAGTTCCTGGCCATTCATGCAAGGGAGCAGGGGTGGCCACAGGACGTTGTCAAAAGGAGTCAAAGTGATGGCCATCACTGTGCAGTCGAATCTCTGCAGATCCCCTGAGAGTGCACAATTCTTTTTACATACTTCTAAATATTGATTGAAGGAAGAGAATCCATTGCATGTAATAGGAAAAAATTAAGAGGCTCTACTCACTACTTTACTTACAGCCCTTTTAGTTTGCCAGGAACCCCGAGAATAGCAACCGAAAGACCCCTGGAGCCCAGCAGTTGCTTTGGGTCCATGCGGAGGTTCAAACTCTCTTGGTGGGGATGGGGGTTGCCACCTTTTTATACTTTCCAGAAGAGACAGGGAGTATAAACAATAACTCCTGGAGATGACTTGGTGGTGGCTCATCTCATCAGGGACCGATTTGTAACTGTTGACTGTGGAAGTGCTGCCAAGACAGGGTCCCTAGCCACAGTGCCTGGGATGGCCTGTGACATATCTGGTCAATACCTTGTGCATCCAGGTAAGTGATCCTTTGCTAGGAATGGGTTGGCCTTCAGTAGGCAGCTGTCGGTCTCCTCCCCTTGGCAGATTAGGACGTCTTCTTTATCCAAATTGTCACGAGCAGAGTGCAGAGAAGAGGCAAGCAAAGTGATTAACAATGCAAGGATGCAGTCCCCAAAGCTTGCGAAGTAACTTATAAGAGCACATAATGGAAGACTTTACAACACAAAACTTGCTCACCTATCCATCAAGCCCTTCAGGTGGTAACACTTGCTACACAGAATAGAATAATTCTCATAACCCTTTCTACACAGGCATGTCTTCTCTTGCCCGTGGAAAAAGGGCTTCCAACCACGCTCTTCGCCAGTTTTCCCTTCTGCAGATTCAGCCCCTCCAAGACTTGTAATTCCGGATCCGTCTCTGATTGATGAATTGATCGGGTTCCATCAAGTTGTTTTTGACTCCTAGTGACCACATAGAGAGACAGTCTTTTAAAGATTTGGAGGGGGGGAGAATGTTAATTTGAACTGCCCCCATTCTTACTTCATCCTTTGTCCATGTAACTTTTTTCCCACTTTTTCCCATTTCAGTCAGTAACCCAGTAAGCAAGAGTTTGTGGAACCACCTGGAATGCTGAATAACTCTTGGCATTCAATTTTACTGATTATTTTTGCTGCCTTGAATGGGAAGTTCTGATCCTTCGGGTCATTTGCGGACTCTCTGGGGCTTGGGACTGTGGTCTCTCCAAAGGGAGCTGAGGTGTGGACGTAACAAGGAGCAGCAAGTGGCACTTAGTAACCCCAGGTGGGGATGTCTGTTTGCATCAAAGCCACCACCAGCTATTTCCTCAAGACACAGAATATCACAAAGCGTGTGAAAAAATACATGCAAATGCATGTCAAGTGCCTGGATGGGAGGGTTAAGCTCTTCTCCTTAGATAAGCAAGACGAGATCCATAGATAATGGGAGGGAGAAAATATCAATATACCCATTCACTGATTTCATTTTATTGTAAGCGGGCCAAAAATGAGCAGGTAGAGCCTTTTCAGACTAACAGATTTTATTATTATCCCTTTTAATAAACTTCGTTCATGTGAGCATCATGATCACTGCTTTGTCAAGGAAACCAGACCCTTCAGCTGCCTTAGGAGTTGCTTCCCCAGTTATTTAAGAGCTAGAATAATCCACTGGCTTGTGTAAACATAAATTATGGGTCGGATGTTCACATTTCAAAGCCAATCTCAGCCATAGGAGATTAGTCAGTGCAGTCACTGTATAGGCAGTGCAGACAAGCTAGCATCAGTTCAAACGGTTCATAATCACTCAACTTCACTCTGCATTTGCACAGTTAAATCTCCTATAGAAAATAGTAGGGTTGAAAACTGCTTTCTGTTACCTAGACAATTTCCTACTGTGATCTGAGTGAGAATGACCTCTGCAAACTGGGGTTATAATTCCATTTTTATCCTTTCTTGAGATTTCTTCAGTTCCAGATGTTTATCTGCTATTCTTGCTAATCCGTGTAGGTGAACTGATGTATGTGTCGCCTTGCTAAGAAAGCAAACTTGTCTGTCCCTCAACGTTCTTTTCAGATTACAGTTTTTGTGAAAGTTTTGTGGGTTTTCAGCAGGTGGCCCTAAAAATGCCCCTTAGACTGGAAGGTGAAATGCATTCTAGACTCCAAGAATATGCTGCGGCTCCCTCTTTCGTAAGACCCACACGACAGCTTTTCTCTTCTCCGTAAATCCCAAGGGATGCAGCTAATTGAATCCTGATGTTTGTGTTAAATTATGGCCAGCTTTGGAGCTTTAAGCAAAAGGGGTTAACTACAAAAGTTTCTTTTTAACAGCCAAACTTTAAAAAACTTTTCAGAAATAATATAGTAGAATCTGTGGAGATAACAGTTAATTTGAAGTTACAAATCCCAAAGATGAGAGCTAAATTACCAAGCTAAATCCCTTTCATTCATTGATGTCCCCTTCTGAGAGGTGGGATGTGAAGATAAGGACTTGAGCCTAGTGAAAGGAAATAGCGTGAAGGTGTCTCTGCTGTATTCAAAGAGGGTAGGGAGAACTGAGAGAAATGGAGAACAAGAAGTCAGCAAAACAATATTGTTTTAAGCTTCCCATTTTTGTAAGTGCTAGGGACAGCCTTTTCCAGAATCTCCCTATGAAGAATTTAGGGGTATATTTGACAACCTGAACAGGTAAATCCACAATTAGTATTGTTTCAAAAATCTAGCCAGTTCTCCAGAGGTAAACAGTGTGTCACAAGAATCCTCTTTGGCAGAGAGCTGCAAAACTCAGATTTTTGGTCTGGCTGCTTTGCACTCAGTGTTTATCTAATCCCTGCCTAACCATCAGACATGCCAGAGCAAATCTGTGCTCATTTAAGCAAACATCATATAGCCATTAATACCTGTTTAGTAGGAGTGGGGAAATCTGTAGCCCTCCAGATCCACGTTTTCCACCCTAGGCAACCTCCAGATGGGTGAACTTCAATTCTCTGAACTCTTAGCAATGGTCATGCTGTCTGGGAGTCGACCGATTGATGGACTATATCAGTATTTCTCAACCTCAGCAACTTTAAGATGTGTGAACTTCAACTCCCAGAATTCCCTAGCCAGCATAGTCAGCTGAGGTTGAGAAACACTGTACTATATAGTTCCAGCAGCCACAAATAGCATGGTCAATAGTAAGAGTTGCTAAAACTTTTATTTTATTTATTCCTGGTATTTCTGTGCCACTCCTCTAGCATGAAAGTTGCATTTCACTAGCATCTGGGAACTTTACTGGTCCTGCCGCCTTGATTGGAAGGGGCACCATTATTTCCAAGCTGAAGCAAATCTTGAGGGGAAAAAAAATCTCTTCTGAGAATATAGCAACATTCCTGAATTGAAAGTGAGATCACATATTCCCAGGTTATCAGTAACTCCAAAGTTGTACACGTTTGGCTAAAGAGATAGCTTAGGAGCGACATGCTGTGAGCCACCCAAAGTCAACTGGAATTGGGCATCGTCAAAGTAAATAATAATATATATAATGATAATAGAATAATAAATAAATAAATAATAATAAATAAAATGAGCAGGAAGGAAGTTATTGTCAGTCCTTTGAGGTAGACCAGACTAGGAAACCAAAGTTATGAATGTTAATATTGTTATCGTTGGCCTCATAGTCAGTCAGATGTTTAGACTGGATTTGGGATCCTCCTCCTCCTCCCCCTCACCCCCCCCCCTTTCCTTTTTTCTTTTTTCTTTTTTTTTTTCTTTTTTCTTT